TGTGTGTGTGTGTGTGTGTATTGATACCATCAGAATGTCACGGCAGCAGTGTCATAACTAATGATTAGTATTAATGCTGTTATTTGTCATTTCATGGTTAAGAGCAAAATAAGGCAATAAGAAAGTTTAAATAACTGGCTATTTAAATTTTATCATAACCACATTTTATGAAACTTACTTTTTTCTGCTGTAAAATTTCTGATGCACTGTGTAATAAATGCCTTATCTCAAAAAAAGGAGAGACTGGAATGAATAAGTGGCACAAAAGTTATGTAAGTGATAACCAACATCATGCTAATGCTTCTGGTAAAGAAAAAAAATAAAATAGGCCATTTTAAAACCCAGTGTTAGGAGGCTTTCACCATGCTGTAGCAGACACCAGAAAAAAAGGAGCAGTTTTTTCTAGTGATTGCCAAAATATTACTTTCCTAATACTTTCCTAAAAACCAGATCTTCTCTCATTTGCTATTTGATCACCTGTCATGTACTGCAAGAAATGCCACATGGTATTGGAGACGCCACATGGTTAAACTGAGACTTTACGAAAGAGTACTGTGTTTCCTCTCGCGTGGATTCAGTGTGCTTGCAGATGGCCCTTCTCGCTGCAGTATTAATCAACAAGCGCAGAGCTCTCCTCCACCCACCTGTGATGACAGGAGGTTTAATGTGAAATTAGCATGACATAATTGATGCGAACTTCGTCGCTGTGGTCTGTACAAGGACCTATGCTGCTGTGGAACTGTGCTTCAAAGTGCAAAAGCTCTGTTGGAGAACATCACTTACACAGAGCTTGTTTATCTCTGTTTGCTTTAGCCTCCTTCTCCAACACTCCTTCCTTTGGCTCACACATGCATACACTCCTCCTCCATACATCCCCATGCATCGCCCTCTTCTGCTCTCATCTTCCACCTCTCCATCTTTCTCTCTTGTTATTTGCATCTCTCGCGCTGCGCTCTCTCAAAACCCCCACCCATCTGCTTGCTGATACAGTGATACTGCGAGTCTGACTTAATAAAGCTTGAAGTACGTGTTGTCATTCCAACTGTCGATCATTATAATTATTCATAGATGGAGCCGAGATTGGAGTGGGAGGCGAGGTCTCTGAGCAGCAGAGCGATAGTACAGCATGGCGGAGGTGTTTTCACTGAGTGCAGAGAAAAGGTTGCCCTTGTGCACGATTCAGCATTTTTGAAACCTGAAATACTGCACGAATATGTATCAGCATGCAATGTGTCATCTGCTAGTTTCTGGGTAGCCAGTCATGTGAGGCCCAAGTTATTCATCCAGGTAGCTGATTCACCCATCCATGTTGCTAAAATGAACAGGGATGACAAAGCTGGTTCTGTTCAAGGATAGTACTTTGATACATCATCATCATTATCTTTACGTTATTATACACCCACATGTCTTACGCCCAGTTATGTGCAGTACCTTAAAAGTCCTGCTTATGCTGCTGTCCTAGTGTTCATGTTACATCTGTTAATGTTTCCAGATTTTGCACACCAGTGCACGTTTGTCTTCACATTCAAATCGCCAAATATTAAGATTTGCACTAGTATGTAGAGCAGGGCGATATGACCAAAAATATTTATCACGATATACATTTGAAA